CTATGAAAAGCCTGCCCCCCCACTGCGGGGAGAGAGGGCTGGATGGAAGTCGGGAGGCTGTTCTGAGTCCTCCTCTGCCCCAGGTGGGCAGGCCGCGGGAGGAGAATCTGTAATGAGCCTGTTGGGAGCCGAGGAGAGGGGAGGGGGAGGGGATTGTCCGAAATCTCCGCAGGAGTAGGGCGGGACGGAGCTCAGTGTGGGAGCACGGGGTAGGGGACTGTCTGGGTTCCAAGCACTCCTCCGGGGGCAGGCGAGGCTGGAGGGCTGTTCTGAGCTCCCTGGTGAAGAGGAGTGGAGGCGAAGTGGGGAGGGGGAGGGGTGATGTCTGTTCTGAGCCCATCCCCAGGAGGGATCAGAACAGAGGGACTGTGATAAGATCCACAGGGAGAAGCAGGACAGGACCTGGGGAGTCTGTTCTGATCCCCATGCAGGGGAGGGTGGGAGCTAGGATGGAGCGAGTGGCAAGGGGTTCTCTGTTCTGAGATATCCCCTCACACCCAGGGGTCTGTTCTGGTCTTCCAGGTGCGCATCTGAGCCTCCCGGGTCAGGGCGATAAAGTAGGAAGAGCTTTTCAAGGATCTCTATAAATATTTCTGAGACCTGGCTGAGGAGGAGTAATTAATGGATCAAAAAATGAGAAAATCCAAACTAAAATAGAGCAAACGTGCTGAAAACGCCGAGCACATCCTACATTAAATGAGTTGCCCACTTTTTTTTTTTTTTTCCTTTGACGGAGTTTGACTCTTGTTGCCCAGGCTGGAGTGCAATGGCATGATCTCCGCCTCCCGGGTTGAAGCGATTCTCCTGCCTCAGCCTCCCAAGTAGCTGGCATTACAGGCACACCACCAGACTAATTTTTGTATTTTTAGTAGAGATGGGGTTTCTTCATGTTGGTCAGGCTGGTCTCGATTTCCTGACCTCCGGTGGTCCACCTGCCTCGGCCTCCCAAAGCGCTGGGATTACAGGCATGAGCCACCGCGCCCGGCGGAGTTGCCCACATATTTCATACACAAAATCACAACAATCCTTTAACAACAAATGTATATGTTACACGGGATGTATTTCAATATTTGGTACCACGTGGACTGGGGGTTCGCGGCTGCCCGCAGGAGCCAAGAGTCTCCCAGGTTTCACTCTGTTCCTCGTGGACCGGGGCATTACCAGGGAAGACAGCAGAATATAGACATCAAAAACTCCGATCTAGAACCATCTCCTGGCTTTGAGACTGTGAGACTATCTACCTTCTCTAAACCCTAATCCCTTCCTCTGAAAAATTAGATTTAAGGCAGATTCTCCCAGGCACGTCAGTGCAGAAGGAGGAGCAGTTGCTCGGCTCACCAACTGTTTGGTTTGGCCTCTGGCGCCCCCTAGCGGCAGGATGAGTTGCTACACCGTCGGGGCGGGGCCTAACATTCAAATGAGATGCAAACCACTCCTCTCGTGTCCGGTCTGCGGAAAGGGTTTCCTGGGAGGCCACGCGTGTCCGTGGAAACTAGCAAGCGTGACTACGGTGCGCGGGAGTCTGGCTGACAGGAGGAAGGTGGCTGGGGGCCTGGGAGGCCAGAGGGTCCTGAATACTGGATGACCACCTCATTTCATGCTCACCTCCACTTCCAACCTCCAGGTTGGAAAATGGACCCAGCTCAGGATCCTGGTGCTGCCTGATGCTTCATGTTCCAGCAGCCCTCTCTGGACTCCAGGAGGCACATCTGTGAAATGGGTGCATTGAGGCTGGGCGTGGTGGCTCATGCCTGTAATCCTAACACTTTGGGAGGCCGAGGCAAGTGGATCACCTGAGGTCAGGAGGTCAAGACCAGCCTGGCCAATGTGACGAAAGCCCGTCTCTACTTAAAAAATATAGGCCGGTGTGGTGGCACGCGTCTGTAGTCCCAGCTACTCAGGAGGCTGAGGCACGAGAATCATTTGAACCTGGGAGGCGGAAGTTGCAGTGAGCCAAGATTGCGCCCCTGCACTCCAGCCTGGGCAACAGAGGGAGACTCTGTCCCCCCGAAAAATAAAATAAAAATCACTTAAATTATCTGTACCTCATACCAGGTTATCTTTTCCAACAAATCACAGGCTATGCAACCTGTCAGCATTGTTACTATTGTTCCAGCCAACATGCAGTGACCAACCATCCCTGTCTGGGCAGTGAGGTTGAGGAAGTCCACCCTCTGTCCCTGTCAGGCCGTGTGACTTGAACTTATAGTGGAACTCTCCAAGTCTCACCCCCCCATCCCCACCTACCCACTCCCCACCTGTCTGAGCTGGAATGAGAAGGGCAGCTTAGCAAAAGGCCAAGGTAGATGAGCTCACCATCTACCATGAGTAGAGTGGGGCCTGTTAGCAGGGTTAACATTCCAAGTTGAAGCCAGACACCCCCAAACTAGAGAATCATCCCACATACAAGGACCAGACCTTGGTATCTGTGTTCCCGCAACCCCCAACAAATAACGGCAAAACTTAAGACAGCACTGTAATGAATTTTGGCCACCTTAGGTAAGTGTCCCCTTATTGTGGGATTTCATGTATGTTTCCACCTCCCCCACCAGGCAGGCTGTGAGCACTGGAAGGGAGAGCAGGGCCTGTCTTGGTCACCCCTGGGTTCTCAAAGCCCAGCACATAGACGGGCTCTCCACTGATGTTCGTCGAATGAATACAGGAAAGTATCTTATATCTCTGTATTCCCACCACCCAGAGCAAAACTGTAGCCCTGATCCAAATGAATTGCTGCGCCCCTCAATTTGAGACTTTTCCTTACCTGGAAAACATGGAAAATTCACCCTAACACTGGTGATGATGAACGAGTGAGTGTTAGTCTGAGGCCTGATGAATGAATGAATTAATTAATTATTTAATTGAAAGAAGGAACAGGTTCCTGCTACAGATGAGGAGGCCCAGAGAGGTTAAGGGATGTGCCCAAAGTCACACAGCAAAGAAGGAGGCCACCTGGAAAGGAAGGGTCACCCTCACCCCATACTCTTCCTTGGGGCCATTTTACCTACAAGCTGAGGGCACAGGGCCCACAAACTCTTTTCAAACCCAGAATTTTCAAACCTGAAAAAAAAAAATTGATTCCAGGCGAGGTGCAGTGGCTCAAGCCCGTAATCCCAGCACTTTGGGAGGCCCAGTGGGCGGATCAGTTGAGCTTAAGAGTTCCAGATGAGCCTGGACAACATAGTAAGACCCCATCTCTACAAAAAATTAATTAAATTAAAATGGAGAAAGGACTTGAATAGACATTTCTCCAAAGAAGATATATGAACAGTCAAAAAGCCCATGAAAAGATGCTTAACATCATTAGTTATTAGGGAAATGCAAATAAAAACCACAATGAGATATTACTTCATAAGCATCAGAACGACTATTTTCAGGGAGGAGGAGGCTGGGTGTGGTGGCTCACCCCTGTAATCCCCCAGAACTTTGGGAGGCTGAGGTGAGAGGTTAGCTTGGGCATACGAAGTTTGAGACCAGACCAACATAGCAAGACCCCAACTCTACAAAAACATTTAAAAAACTGGTTGGGTATGGTGGCTCACAGCTGTAATTCCAACACTTTGGGAGGCCGAGGCAGGAAGATCACTTGAGGCCAGGAGTTTGAGACCAGCCTGGCCAACATGGTGAAACCCCATCTCTACTAAAAATACAAAAATTAGCTGAGTGTTACAGCAGCCACCTGTAATCCCAGCTACTTGGAAGGCTGAGATGCAAGAATCGCTTGAACCTGGGAGGTGGAGGTTGCAAGTGAGCCGAGATCTCGCCACTGCACTCCAGCCTGGGCAAAAGAGTGAGTTCATCTCAAAAAAAAAAAAAAGAAGAGGCCGGGCGCGGTGGCTCAAGCCTGTAATCCCAGCACTTTGGGAGGCCGAGACGGGCGGATCACGAGGTCAGGAGATCGA